TGAATGATGGAGAATGGATTTATATTCCTTGCAATTGTCTGGATGTTATCACTCTTTCTGAGAGTCGCTGAGGCTACTTGGAGGTGTATCTGTGCCCTCAAGGCCACCTGAAGAGTGCAGATGGGTGTGGAACCTTCTTGGAACTGCTGTGTTGTAAACAGGAGATAAATGTAATCGTATCCCTCCCCCTCTGTTGAGAGAGGGCTGTTCAGTATTAATGTAGATGGCCTCTTTGACCCCTCTTTCAAACTAGTCATCTCTGTCCGGAATGTGGAATTTGCTGTCTTTGAAAGAGTGACCTTTGTCTTTCAAGATGGAGTGCTGAATCTTGGATTTGTCTTCCTATGTTATGCCATGTGTTTGTGAAGTGGTTGTTTTGTTTCTGTAATGTACAGATCTGCACATGTCTCACTACATTATACTGCATATATCACATTGCTCAGTTTGTATCTGGGTGTTGTATCCCTGGGGTGGACTTCTGCCTTAGAGTATCTTTGGGTTTAAAGTGTGTATGTATATTGTGTTGGTTGAAAATCCTGAGCTTTTCAGATAGTCCTGCAACTAATGTTTTCCTTGAAGACTAATGTTGCAGGAGAACTGAAATGTCTTCAAAGAAAAACAAAGAAAGTCCAGTTGCCTTTTGAAAAAGCACCTTTGGGACAACCATGACCTGAATGACTGAGAATCTCCATAGACATTCTGGGGCTTGGCTTAAATTCTGCAGCTAGAAGTTGGTAATCCTTAATAGCAAAGTGTCTGCTTATCACCACTCTGGAATCACATAGGGGTTCATGTGTTGTGCTTACTAGAGAATACAGTGCTTCACTTACCAGCTCTGTCAATCTGTATAGAAATAGATCCACCACAAGGCAAGGTGTATATGTGAGGGACCCTCAAGCCGAAGGTCAGATCCAGGCTTTGAAGTCCAGTGGGATATGGACTATCTGGGAATATGCAGCGAAAAGGGGCAGGAATTTGAGAAAATTTAGATTAGTGCAGCAGAAAGTTACATTCAGTTTGTATGAAATTAGGATATTATTACTGAATTATTTTGGGGCAAGCACATGCAGATTAGTTCCCCAATTGTGGATATTCTTAGTTAACACAGAGAGCTATTATATAAAGCCATAATGTCTTCCAAACACTGTCAGTAACATTTAAAATGTTCTCTATGGTGCAGTGCATAAAGTTTTACTTTATGGCTTACAGTTTTAACTTACTTTTAAAGAAAAAAAATGAATGCTGACTTCTGTTTCATTTGCAAAATGGTGGCCTGGGATAGCACAATTCACAAAATATTTCCTAAATTGACTCCATCTGTTATACGTGGATATAAAATTGCTTCTATCTAATTCTGGGTGTGATGAGGGCTTCAAAAGCTATTTGGCTTGTTTTGAAACTGATTGTCTTTGGTATTAAGCCATAATCTTATTCTGGCAAAATGATAAGCTATTAGTGAGGGCCCATCACATTGCTGACATGGCTGTTGAGATTTCACAGTCTCTGAGGGTAACTGCATAGATTGTTTTCTATTCCCTTTACTGTAGATCAGTTTGTAATCCTAAGTGGCATTGCTCAACTAGCAATCTGTGCTAGGAGTCACACCTCAGTTTTAGATAAGAGAAGATTTGCTGTCTCTGCAAGCAGTGCATGTCACAACCAGAGTGAAGATATTTTTGTCAAAATGTTCTCAGCAATTGATACTGCTGCCCTATCAAAGGATAAACTGGGCTACTGATGATACTTCTGCCATAATTTGATTTATGGAGAGATTTGTGGCATTACTGAAGAAAGAAATAGAACATCTTAAAATTGATATTTCACATTCCATTCCATTCAATTACACCTTTGTGTACAATCGCCCTGCTTCAATCTGACAGTAAAAATTGTTAACTTTATAAAAGAAGAGTATTGGAACTTACTGGAGGAACTGGATAGTTGTATGATGATCTGATATATGGTGCTGCTGTGATGTTTATTGACTGAGATGAGGTCAGATGTTCTAGTATTTATATGAGCTGAAAGATGAATTACAGATTTTCACAGACAACAAAGTCAAACCAAAGACTGAGATAAATCATCCAAAGTGGATTGACAGCCTGGGATCCATGCTATATTTCCCCACTACATTATACAGAACACCAATCTGGGTTCATATATGTATATCACTGAAGGATATGTGGCAAGTGGGGCTAAAGAGTAGTAAATTGAGCTATTTCTCAGCACATTTAGCATATTCAGTATGCTGAGGAATTTTTAGAGGAACTCCTAAAGGTCTTGAGGAATATTTTAAAGATTTAAAGTCCATTTATTATTGTAGTTTATTCAAAAGCCAGTGCCTGGCTCCTAAAGGTCTTGAGGAATATTTTAAAGATTTAAAGTCCATTTATTATTGTAGTTTATTCAGGCAGTGCCTGTCACAATAGGGGTGATATGGTTAACTGATAATAATCAACCTGAAAAAGCAACTATGTGTTGCAACACTATCAGAGCAACCAGATATCCCAAAACAAACTAGAGTATTAAGAATCTTTAAGAGGTTTCAGTCATTTGATTTAAATATAATATAAAATTCCACTTTCTGCTGAACTTCATTATATTTTTCTCCAATGACTTTGCCATTTGTGGCCTTGTCTCTCCCTTCCTTCCTTCCTTCCTTCCTTCCTTCCTTCCTTCCTTCCTTCCTTCCTTCCTTCCTTCCTTCCTTCCTTCCTTCCTTCCTTCCTTTCTTTCTTTCTTTCTTTCTTTCTTTCTTTCTTTCTTTTTCTTTTGCAATGTAACCCTCAACCAACTGTTCATAGGTCAGTGATACTTTTGAAGTAGCCAAAGTTTACATCTCTGTGCTAGGGAAAGAGCAATGGCTTGGGAGCCGTAGTTACTCCTTTTTTTTTCTTTTCCCAAAGACGGAGGTATGCAATGAATAGGGCAAGGACACTGTGATATGAAAGAAATGTATTGGGCTGGATTTTCTGGTTTTGTTTCCCTTTTTTGCTTTTTCAAACATGGCTCGTATCTTCCCATTTTATTTGTGCTCAAAATCAGAAGTCAGTTCACCTTAGTTTTTTATGGTTTGCTGACTTGCATTTTTTCAAGAAAAGCCCTGGGAGGAGTACATGAATTCCATAGGCCATAGGATGCCAATCCTTCATGGTAAGAGAGAAAGGGAAAGATTCTGAAGACTTCTGATCCTGAGAGAGGAGAGGGAAGGAAAGAATGCAGTGTGGCTTGCATATTGATTTAGTGATCACAGCCATAGCCTAACATTATTTGTTTGTTATTTATAGGATATATAAGACTGCCCACGTACAATTTATGACTCTAGGCAGCATACTAACATGAATATTAAAAAAAAACCTTACATAGGCAAGACTAGAAATAATAAACCCTCTCTTTCCTAAGACATGTACAACTGAACATCAATAGGATGCTGATAATACTTGTCTTTGTGCCGAGGATGATTTCATCCAGTTTCTTCATGTAGATTTTAAACAAAAGTGGGGAGAGGATGGAGCCCTGAGGCACCTCTCAAAGCAGGCACCCTTCTTTTCCCCCACCAACACTGACTGCATCTAATCAAGGAGAAAGTAGGAGAATCAGGGCAACACCATGCCATGTACTCCCAATCCCCTGAGCTGGTCCAGAAGAATACCACAGTTCAGTAGGGTTGAATGTCGCTGAAAAATCAACACCCGGAAGGATGCAATCTCCTTCTCCTGAGCACATCACAGGTCATCACAAAGTGCAACCAACGCTGCATTTGTGCTTTCTCTCATTTTATAAAAGGAGTCCAGATGGGATAATGTTCTTAAATAAATCATACCCCTATGCTGTTTCTCTAGGTTTTTTCTGAATTAAAAAAAGCTATAAACTTATGATAAAAGTCAAAGTTCCAATCCTTTTTCTGTAAATTAGTGAACTCATGAGGTCAGAATTGGTATACATTTTGCTTTGCTCTGTGCTGCCAACTGAGCTTCGTACTTTAATGCTGGATTTTAAAAATTGCACAGCCTGAACAGGGAGAATAGGTACTGTTTGTGCTATGTACGCTTCAAAAATAATTCAGAGGAAGTATTTGGGCTCATGTCCTTGTTCAGTCATCCATGCAAGCCTGAAAAAAGATACCACAGAAGAAGATCACAATGCAACTCTTAAAGAAGCTACAACTTTTTTTCAGGCTTGTGTAGAAACCTAATAAGGACAAGCTGCATTAAAAATAGGTGCAGCACTTCCTTGAGGTACTGTTTATAATGATTTTCAAAATGTATATGGCTCTATAAGTACTCTGCTTTTAGGACTATGAACAGAATGAGATCTGATGAACAGAATAATACATGCGAATGTTTTCTGTGTTTAATTATGTAAAATAAAGGTATTTGTAGTTATAGGTTTGCTTACCTATGCCTACTTGTACTCAACTGTTAGGTATATTATCAGGAATAGCTGTACATTGCTTCCATGTACTGTGCATGAAACTGCCTTCCAAAACAATCCAAAACGTTTAGCTATACAGTGGCAAAAATGCAACTGGGAACATTTTGTGTTCAAAGCACTGCTGTATCCTATCTTCTTGTTCCACTTCCTACCATCCTCTTAGATTATTAACCAAGGTCCCGTTGACTTCATACAAGGTTGACTCAGCTTTCCATCTTTCCTAGGTCTGTAAAATGAAGACCCAGGTTGTTGGGGGCAATATACTGACTCTGTAAAATGCTTAGAGAGGGCTGTAAAGCACTGTGAAGCGGTATATAAGTCTAAGTGCTATTGCTAAGTGCTAGTTGTACAATTTTATTGCTTATTATGATTTTAACTTCTGCTTGTTTTTAAATATGGACATTCTCTGTTGTTTTTAAATTGTATATACACTGGGGAGTTGTTTGGATAACTATTTTCCCCCCTTTCTGAGGACAAAAGTTACAGGACAAGTGGAACCTTGATTGCATGAATAGACAAATACAGCATAATTGTATTCTCATAATTTCAAAAATACGCTTATTCCATAGTAATGAATCACCAGCACCAGCCACAGATGACACCAACTACAACTATATCTCAGCAGAACCACCCTCCCCCAAACCCTCAAGCTGCCTTATTGAACATGCCAAATGCCTTGACTTCCCAGCAACAACAGCAGCAGAAACTGAGGCTTCAGAGAATCCAGATGGAAAGAGAGAGGATTCGCATGCGTCAGGAGGAACTCATGCGTCAGGTATTGCAAAAATGTGGGAAGGTATCTTCTTCTTTCTGTAGGTTGTCTAGCACTCCAAGTGAGAGATCACCAAGTAGGGATTCCCCCCCACTCAAAAAAGATTAGCATCTTTTTATGTAGGGCTAAATCTTACAGTCAGGAGTAATTTTGACCTATCACTCTCTTGATCTGATTTTTATCTTTCTTCATGCTAGGAGAGCCCACTTGTCTGATTTTTGTCTCTCTCAAGGACAGGTGGAAAGCCCTTGAAGACAGCTGCAAAGTGGAAATCTTAGACTTACATTGTTAGCAGTTATTCTCTGGCTGGAATTTTTTCTCATTGGGTTGTGGATTTTTGCTTAGGCTTTAAGGGTTAGCTTTTATTGTGACTCACATTGTTCAAAACAGATCTGGTGCTTCCTGTACTTGGCTTCAAAGCAAGAACTGTGAACAATTGCAAAGGATGTTTTTCATAGGGTAAAGGAATATTCCACCCTACTGAAAATGTACTATGAAAGTATGATTCTATGGTTCTGCTTTGGTCAATATATTCATCAGCTTCCTCAGAGAAACAATTACCCAGTTTACTTCCAGCAGTGTTGAAGACAGTTGCTAACTTAGTAACATATATATTTTAATGGAAACTAGTCCTTAAAATATTCTGTTTTTTTTTAATCAAAGCAATTTGTAATCTTAAAAAGGACACAGTTAAGGTGATTTCTATATGTACACACATGAATGCATACTATTTCCCAATATGTATCTCCTATCTATCACAAGAAGAGATTTTAAAAAGACTCTGTGAATATCTATCAACTAGAGTGCAGATTGTTTAAAGGATTGCAGTCGGTAAGCAAAATAGTTTGTTTTTTTTACTTGGGAGTAAGCCCAACTGAACTGGACAGATATTATTTCAGACTAAACATAAGTAAGTTCAGAATGTGAAACTTCTGAAGCAGAGGAGGAGGGGGAAAACTATCAAACCTACAGTGTTATTTTGCCTTTGGGATTTGGATCTAACCTCCTTCAGCTATTCCAGGATAGCATTTGTTTATACTGTATTTAGTAATACAGTCTCACATTTCTTGGCAGCAGAATGAATTATGTTTTCTATTTGTGTAATGACACCAGTTGGCATATCATTTCTAAAGGTTTATTAATGCTCAGTCAGATGTTTTAGGATGCAATGAACCGAGCAGGTTATATCAAAGCTCGTGCCTTAAAATCTCCCCCTTTCTATTTTTGTTTATTGTTTGATTGCTTGTAACCATCTGAAGGAATGAAAACTTTCCATCTCTCTTAAAAGCCAGTAATAAAATTGAGGGATGGGATATGAATATAAAATAACTTTAGCTAGATATTATTTGGCTTTAGTATGTTGTGATCTTTATTCACAGATGCTTTAAGAACAAGACTTTTCCTACAAAATTTTTTAAATGAAATACATTAGAAGCTCTCATTTAATTGTTACTTTCTATCATTGAATCTATATTAAGAAAACCTGAATTGGAAAAAGATGAGGATTATTTTAAAATATACTTGTTATTGAAACATTAGTAACTAGTATTCTGCTGGCTCCACTCTTCATTGTTGAAAATCCAATAAGCTGGGAGCCTTAGTGATGAAAACAAGGAGCGAAGAGAAAAAGTGGGATTAAAATTGATTATAAAGAACACCAAATTAGTGTCTGTAGGTGTAGCAACTAGCCTTAGAATTGACAGTGAAGATACTAATGTGATATCTTTTAGGATCAACAATCAACAGTAAAGGAACCAGAGGTGAAGAAATACACCACCATAGACTAGCCCTTGATAGAGTAATACTGTAAAGAAGGTCTTGGAAAAGATACTTGTATGCTCTGACATGTATTTGATCTGAAAGATCAGAACTGTGCAGGCAATGGTTCCCCCTGTGATACTGTATGGAAGCTGAAGTTGGACTTTGAAGAAGAAGGATAGAAAGAATATGGACTGCTTTCTGAAAGATCCCCTTGCACATCATGAAAAACATGAATATTGCATCCAGTTTTGGTCACCACGATGTAAAAAAGATGCTGAGACTCTAGAAAGAGTACAGAGAAGAGCAACAAAGATGATTATGCGACTGGAGGCTAAAGCATATAAGGAACGGTTGCTGGAATTGGGTATGTCTAGTTTAATGAAGAGAAGGACGAGGGGGGACATGATAGCAGTGTTCCAATATCTCAGGGGCTGCCACAAAGAAGAGAGAGTCAAGCTATTCTCCAAAGCGCCTGAAGGCAGGACAAGAAGCAACAGATGGAAACTAATCAAGGAGAGAAGCAACCTAGAATTAAGGCGAAACTTCCTGACAGTTAGAACAATTAACCAATGGAACAACGTGCCTCTAGAAGCGGTGAATGCTCCAACATTGGAAGTTTTTAAGAAGAGACTGGACAGCCATTTGTCTGAAATGGTGTAGGGTTTCCTCCCTGAGCAGGGGGTTGGACTCGATGACCTCCAAGTTCCCTTCCAACGTTTTTATTATTATTATTATTATTATTATTATTATTATTATTATTATTATTATTATTATTATTATTATTATTATTATTACTACTACTACTACTACTACTACTACTACTACTACTACTACTACTACTACTACAAAGAATCATTGCAATACACAAGCAGATCAATTTGAAAAGATACCTCCTTTATACTACTGGGTTTTGTGGCCCTGCAGTTGTGGCTGCTATAAATATAACCAGGATTTTTTAAAAAAGAAACAGTGGTACAATCCTGGCATGCAGCCCTTAATCTGTTAGAATTTTTGTGTACTTCCTGTTGGCCCCCTGTATGATACCGAGGCCTGAAAGCATGGAAGAAGGGTATCACTGTTCAAACAATTTCCTAGTTGCCCTAACCCTTTCCTACTAATGCTGTTGCTGCTGTTGCTGCAAACTGTTTTAAGAAAAAGCAAGTGTTTGCATCAGCTGCTAAGCAACTCCAAGTAGGTGAAGAGGGTTTGGGTGAAAAGGAGTGCTGTTTCTGGCAGGCTCTTCTCAGACCTATCAGGGCTGACAGCAGCTTGGCTCCTCTGTGGAGCTTTGGGTCTTCTGCAGCAGCCCTCTCCAGAGTGACACTTCCAACACCACACAACTGTCTGGAGTTTCTGGGTTATCTTTCTTTTTAGAAGATTGGATAAGTGTTTGGAAAAGGACCTTTTGTTTTCTGGCTGCTAGGAGAACAAGAGAGTTGGCTTAGTTGTCTAAATGAAAATATGAATTGTGCTTCACACATGTATCATTTTAATTTCTTTTCTTTTTAAAAAAAACTCAGAAAACATCTCGGGGGAAAAAACAAAAATTCTGCATCTCTTATGTGCATTCCCGGTTAGGCCCATTGTGGATAATTAATATGCCCACTACAGCTTTCCCGTTTTCCTACATATTTCAAGAAAGAACTCTTAACTACTAAATCCTTTCTCATTTAGTAGGATGTATGCCCCTCTCCTCTATTGGTGTAACAGGCTTTGCTTTAAGGGATTTTAAAATGTGTTTGTTAATCCAAATGTGATCCAGATAATTCAGATATTTGGAACTCTTCTGGGCCTGCAAGGCTTTGATGTATCATACAGATTGTTTAGATTGGAAATGAGACTCAAATTGCCTGGTAACGTCTAAATTTCTTAGATTACATTGATCATCATTTCAAACCAGGGCCAGTGTGCCAGCCTGGGGAAGGGTACTTATTAATTATCTGTGGATCCATCAAGAGAACTGAAAACACTGTTAACAGCATGCCCTATCAAGCATTTCTGGAGCATGTATTTCTAAGTTTGTATCTCTGTCTCAGGTTCGGTGGGCTTGAAGACTGTTTCTGATGCTTTTCTCTGGAAGTAGTACTTTCTTTCTTATCTTGGCTCAATTTGTTCCACTCAGGCAATGTAGAGCATACTAAGCATGTAGGGAATAAGTGACAAATTGCATGTTGTTGCCTTACGTTGACTCTTACTGATTATGTGTTTGCCCAATGGGACTACTCACTTTTTTCTGTCCCCCCAGCCTCTGATTGGTGGTAGTGTGAGGTTGCTGAAGTCCTGTAGGGGTGGGTTTCCAGCAGAAGGAAAGCAACAGTCATGAATTTCCATTACTGTACAGCACTGCTGAAAAGATAGAAAAATAGTTTTGCCCCCAAAATAGTTTGACTGTTGTCTATCAACATGAAAGTGGATTTATCTTTTATACCTGTTGTAGTTCCAGTGCTTTTTTTCTCCCATCTTTCCCATGGTTTAATGGACTTTTTGCTCTGGCCTTGAAGCCGGGCACCTGTTTCTTGTTGACATAATTGACATTTTTGCCCTAAGAAACTCCCCAGGTTTAGCAACAGCTGGCAGCTGTGCCCTGCTTCTCCCTCCTCCATAGGAGAAAATAGGGATCAGAGGACCCCAGAACTAAAGGAGGAAGCATACACTCATTAGCCTGAATGCTCATCCTGTACCCTAGAAGCAACTGGCTGCATAGCATGGCTTAGACAAGAGCATGTCAACTTACATACATCTTAAAATTTCCCTGGTTGGTTTAAGGGGAGAAAAGATTGCTTTAACAGTGGTACAGCTAACCATGATTTAAGGCTTGGATTGGGAATAAGAGGAAGGCAACCTTGTAGAGGCATGTAAAATAGAGTCACAGGAAATGTTTGTACCATGGTAAGATGATAAATGGGGAAAGGTCCCTCCCTTGAAATAAAATTAATGATGAATGGCAGCGTTTGCCTTTGCCTTGACATAGTTAGTATCAAACAAAACCAAAGAAATAGAAAGATCAAGGTTAGAGGGGCCTGCAGTAAGCTTTGAAGTGGTGTCAGGGGGAGTCAAAAGAAGAAAGTAAAAGTTAAGTGGTTTGCTAATAATAAGAATGTGAATACTTGAGGGAGAGTCTGTCCTAGAATGAACATGCTCAGATATTAAGATCTGCAAGGATGGCAGCTACTGGGAGATGCTTGTTATGTGGGAGAGGATGGAGGATCTTCTCTGTTGTTGGACCCCAACTTTGGAATGGCCTTACCTACCTTTTACTATCTGGTAAAAATCTTACTTTTATTGTCACATTTGGAATTGGTGTCCACTAATAGTATCTGAGTGTTCAATTTTGCTGTTTGGTCTTATTGTTTTGCCATATTTTGCTTTTTTGTGGATTATAAACAGCAATTGTTCTCAGGAACATTATTTTTCATGAACTGGATAGCTATTTTAGGAAACTGTCATATAGGGAATTAGTTTCTGTGGTCAATCTGTCTCAACAGCATCTATCCTGAGTAGTGGATCTCCTCTAGGATTTCAAGTCAAAGGTCTATTAGAGATCAAATCTGGGAATTTATGAATGCAAAGTGGTTATTATCCTTCCCAAAGTAATTCTAGTATGTGCTTCCTCTGGAAGAGTAACAAGGAGTCAGTATTAATATTGATTCAGTCTATAGATATTTCTATATGTAAACTCACACAAATTAAAAATTAAATAAATTCAAGATGTCATAACTTGGTTTTGCCTGAAACTAGGCAAGCTAGAAATGTTATTTTAGTAAAAATAACGGACATTTCATGGCTACAGAGTACATCAGGCTTCAGTTAGCTTGCATTACCACTGATAGAAGTGAGCAATCTTAGGATCTGAGCCATCTAAAGAATACCAAAGGAGGGCCTGGATGTTCAGTTGTTGCTGTGCATCACAGTATCCAAGGAACGGAAGTTTAATAAGGGGCAGTGTGAAATAGGACCCTTCCCGCATTCTGAAGGGGCAGTTTAGCAGCTGTGCTTGTGCAGCGAGCTATTTCTGCCAGCAAGGTTCCAGGAAATGTGTTGGGAGATTTCTAAAATCATTTGGCATGTCGGGTTTTTTTTAAGGTTTACATCAAGGCTGTGTGTGTGTGTGTGTGTGTGTGTGTGTAGACAGTGAATAATTTAGTGTACTTCAACCATTTTAAGCCAGCATACATTTTGGCAGCTTTTACAGAAACCTCTGAAGGAGAAGGCGTTCTGGAGCTGCTGCCACAGCAGGCATTTCAATGCTGTAGCAATGTCAAATAGTTGCCTTGATCCTCCCTTTTGTTTCCACTGGCTGTTCTCCCTTTTCTTTCTCTCTTTTTTGGGTGGTTGTTTTCATTTCGTTTTATTTTATTTTTGACCAAACATGGTGTGCACAGCAACAGCACGAAAGACAACAGACCACAAAGGCTCCCGAGGTATCAGTGGCTTTATTTGTAAGGAAATGTCAGGGACCATGTCATGATGGGTTGCAGGAAGCAACCCCTTTGCCAGGTGACCCGCCGACCATAGAAAAGTGATTCGTCTTGTCCTCAGGACTGTGTCATTTGCCTGGCACTGCAGTAGCAACCTCCAAACATTTCCCAAGCAGTTGTCTTTTCTGGCCCATTCGGAAAAATCTGAGAAGTATGAGCTTTTTGAAGCCCTCTGAAACAATAGCAGACAAGCATTTTTGGCTGGGGCTGGGGACATATTTGGAATTTCCAAGGATTTATCTGTCACCGAACTCAAACCATGAAGTGACTCTTCAGTTATGTACAAAAAGAAGAGTAAACCATAATCCATATGGAGATAACATAACTATTACTGTAATTATATTTGTATCCTGCTTTTTATTTTATACAATTCAAGGCAGTGTGCTCACTGCTCCCTCCTATTTATCCCACAACCACCTCCCTGTGAGAAAGGTTGGGCTGAGAGAGAGGAACTGGTCCAGACTCCAAAGGTTGGGCTGAGAGAGAGGAACTGGTCCAGAGAGAGGAACTGGTCCAGCTGAGAACTAATGCTCAGGGTTTCCTGGAGGGTGCAGCTGTAAAATGATTGACATGAAGAAGACCCATGTGGGATATACCTTTTCTCAAAATGACTGGTGCTTTGCTTTCCGGCAAGATCATTTCCTATTGATATATTTTTAATGATATGCTTTTTAAAGAAATTTGGTAAGTGCCAAAGGAAGTGTCATGGGGCACATCGCTGATAGTGGTCTTCTCAATAGAGCCAGTTGGGGAAGCCCTGTGAATGTAGAGAGCCATAAAATATTTCTTTTAAGTGGACTTAAAAAATAAATTTGACTTACTCAGCAATGTGTTTGGTTTATGTGTCTACTTAAAAAATATATGGCACTTAAGAAAACAGCTTTCCTCAGATAATTTACAGAAGTAGTTTTTAATGTTTAAAAAAACCTACTGTGATTAACATTAAAATAAACAACATATATTGATAATACCTATATCATAATGGGGAAAGGCTACAGGAGGTCTTGTTCAGATTCTTGGATGTCTCCTATGCAGAAGGTGATAATGAATGGGGCCTTTTTGAGAAAGTCACTTTGTCTTCCAGCTGAGATCTGATGATCCCCAAAATTAAATACTTTTGATCAAAGTATAATCTGTAAAAATGCTCAAATTGTTGTTATTTTCTTGGCAAAGTCTAGTTCAGGTTTACTTTTGTTTCTGAGATTTTTTTCCCTTCATTTTACCAATCTAGCCTACAGCTTGGGATTTCCTGGGTGTCTCCTATTTAAGTATTAATCTGCTCTCACTCTGTGTAATTTTCACATCACTGAAGACCGAGTTGCTTTACATCCTGGTTGTTTAAGAAGTTCTTTAATTGAAAGTAATGATTTCACTTAGTTACATAAAGCATTTATAAAAAGTAAAAATGATGAATGCTTTGTATGAAAATATGTTTTACTTACTTAGAAAATCCTGAAGATAACATGGAAAGTGTAGTGTAAGAAGTACTTACACTTGGGAGTCCTGAACGTTTGATGGGGAACACCTACACCCTCTTGCCTTCTGGTAAATGGGAATTTTCTCATCGACCATGCTCACTATAATAGCCATTTTGTGCCTGAGCAAACATTTTCCATGATAGCCATTTTGCCAGAGTATCCTTGGAATGTTTCCAAAATGTGAAATGTACCCTTCCCAACTTGCAAAAATGAAAAAACTTTAGGCATAGCTTAGGTATTCTTCTTTTATGAATTGGACAAAATCAAACAAATGTTTTTTTATATATATTTTGAAAGACTTGGAACTGAAGAAGAGCACATTAAGTTCATTGGATTTTAGCCAAGAACATTGGATGGCTGTATGTTTAAACTGCGGTATATTTATATATTTTTCTTTGAACATTTTGTTTTGGGAAGCTCGATGACAGAAAGGCATTATCTCCGACCTTTTTCCAGCAGAAATCTCTCTCAAGTTTTCCATAAGGATTGCATCCCTTCATCATTCTTTTTTCCCACAAGGTGTCGCTCTCAGACCATCTATGGGGGGGGGGGGGGAATAATTCATGGCAGTTTCCACATATTTATCACAGAGTTTTCTGTTCCCATTTCATTGTTTGTTCCTAATTAGTTTCATGATAAAATATAGAAAGCAAAAACCTTTATATTAATTATATATAAAAACTCTTGCCCATCTATTGTAGCAAGTTGCCAATTCATGGCTGTGGATTACAGTTAACTATGAATGCACTCAGATTTCTCACAGAAATCTGTTGAATCAAGCAGTTTAGGTAAACATACTTCCCGCTTTCTTTTTACCATAGCCAAATCTATAATGTACGGACCAAACTTAAAGTATATACTCCCTTTCAAATGTAAAAACAGTGTTGATATCTCTAAATAGACTGCAAGGTTCTGTACTGGATATACTTGTCGAAACTGATTTAGGTCTTCCAATGACCTACGTTTCTCCGCTTGAGATGGTCACAAAGAAAAGGGTTTATTTATAAGACAATTTCTTGGTTTCTCTGGGCATGACCCAATGAAAAATATTTCCAGGTCAGATTCTCTTCTTGCCTGCAAATTCCCTCTTGTATTTTCTAAGCACCTGTTTGTCCCAGTTTTTTATCTTTCTTTTCTTTCTTTCTTTCTTTCTTTCTTTTTTTCTTTCTTTCTTTCTTTCTTTCTTTCTTTCTTTCTTTCTTTCTTTCTTTCTTTCTCTCTCTCTCTCTCTCTCTCTCTCTTTCTTTCTTTCTCTCTCTCTCTCTCTCTCTTTCTTTCTTTCTTTCTTTCTTTCTTATCTGTCTAATATATCTCTCCCTTCCAATCTCCTAGAACTAGATGTTCTAATATTTTGCTGATTAAAATAAACACTTTTATTTACAACCACGTTCTGAAATTCCCTCACTTTCCTTGCCTGCTGTCTTCCTTAAAAAGCTTACTCCATATCTTGAATTATCTTTTTCTACATTAGTTTCTATTGCTTTCCAAAAGGTGATGTTTCCTTTTTTTAAAAAAGCAGAACATCTCTAATTAAAAATAATTTTAATTTCACTACTATTGAGATGCATTGATTCTGCAATATAATATTTATATCTAGAAAGTGGCAAGAGGATGGTGGATTCTGAAAAACTCTAGAGCACCTATATGAATCTCTCAAACAAAATTTAGAATAATAAAAAAGATCACTGTATTTTATTGAGGAAATAATAGCAAGTACTGCTAATAAATCAGGGGAATAGGACCATAGATAGATGATAGATAGATAGATAGATAGATAGATAGATAGATAGATAGATAGATAGATAGATAGATAGATAGATAGATAGATAGATATGGATGGATAGATAGATAGATAGATAGATAGATAGATAGATAGATAGATAGATACCATAGATAGATAGATACCATAGATAGATAGATAGATAGATAGATAGATAGATAGATAGATAGATAGATAGATAGATAGATAGATAGATAGATAGATAGATATGGATGGATAGATAGATAGATAGATAGATAGATAGATAGATAGATAGATAGATAGATAGATAGATAGATAGATATGGATGGATGGATGGATGGATGGATGGATGGATGGATGGATGGATGGATATTAAGTGTCTGTGTTTGTGTATGTGAATGACTCAAATGACCTCCGGTACTTTGCATTTCTGGCTGTAGATGCACCAACACTGACAAAATGTGTTCTTTTTTTAACTTTAGGAAGCTGATTTGTACCGACAACTTCCCATGGAATCTGAGAACCTTGCCCCAGTTCAGACTGCTGTGAGCACACCTAGCATGACACAGGACATGAGATCTATTACAAATAATGGGTCAGATCCCTTTCTGAACAGGCAAGTACCATGTCTGATCACCAGCCATTTTATGTTCTGTAATAAAGGCCTTATCTAAAATTTGCTTACCTATTAAAGCATGTGAATAGAGATTTCCACAGTGGCAATTTTGCTTATGAGTTACAAAAGTTTTAATTGAATAGCTATTTAATCTTTTTGATTCCGATCAATTCTGATCTGATTACTCTCTATTTGTATTCTTAGTGGTGTGTAGAAAATTGGCCAAAGGTATTTCTCATATGGGAATAGGCAGGGGGAGGCTATAGGATACCAAACTGAGAAGGGCAATTAGGCATATTACATATAATTAGGAAAATTAGGGTAATTTCTTAATTATTCTATGTATAATTAAGAAAAACACCTATATGCTAGATGGCATCTCTTCACATGGGTACTGTCTCTCTGTCACTGTAAATTTGGATTGACACTGCCATTTGCTTTTTAAACAACTGGCATCATTTGACAGTAGAAGAATGACAATCACTAGTGCCCACTCCTTAGTTGAAATTGTGACTGGGAATGATGTATCCTGCACAATCATTGTAGCAGGTGCCAAGAAGATGAAGTGGGAACAAATGTAGATGAAAGATACGAGTCAACATAGTTTGCCAAATACAAAAGCGACCAGTGAGAAAGAGAGGATGAGAAGTGGAAGGGAGCAGGGGTGGGTATTATAGGTAGTTGGATCAGTAGACTGGAAGATAAAAAATTGGAGCCTATGATAAGGCTAGGAAGCCTTGTTTAGTACACTGATACCTCATTATAAAGCTTTAAAAATATGCATATAGGGATTGATCTGTGGATCCTGCATGTAAGACATGTACTCTCTTACTGAGATTTGGTTCCACTCCTTGATCTAGGCCTATCTTCTTTGGGCTTTGAGTTACACTGGCTACCAAATTGCCAGGAGATCTAAAATGATAATACCGTATCTTGTAATGCATAAATTTTATTTTAAGAAAAGTAAGATTTCCAGTTACCAAATTCCTTGATAGATAGATGTTTTCAACCTGTCACAGGGGAACTCACAAAATATTGGAGTACATCGAGAGCTGTTTAGAGTTCAAAGTTTAACCAATTAGACTCTTATTTCGTAAGCCATTCTGGGGACAGACATGCGATGGGCACAGTCTTGACTACGGACTTTTCATGTCTCAATTCATAGTGGGCCATACCATTCCAGGGAGCAGAGCACAGACAGTGGCCTAGGCTTAGGATGTTACAGCATACCGACTACCCCTGAAGACTTCCTCAGCAATGTAGATGAGATGGACACAGGTATGAACAAGAAGTATATTTTTCTTCTTAACAAAATTATAAACAATAGGCTCAGCCAATGTCACTTTTATACTTGTCTGAATTACGTATTCAATTGCCCAGCTATTAAATAAACTGCACATTCCAATTTGTGCAACAATTACAGTCCCAACATGTCCAGTAGGACTGATATTGCATATGCTTCAGTATGCAACCAAGAAGATCCTGATTTTAGCCCTCAAGTTTATCTACATCTCATTTTTCCTCCAATTTTAATCTTACATTGTACTGAAACTTTACTCCCTGAATCTTTTTAGCCTTCTAAAAGTGTCTGTCTGAGTATGGGTGTCCAACTAAGGAGTTGTTTTAGATTTGTAGACAGAGTTCCTTTACCCTTTCCTTCCTCCCCTCCCCCTCCCCCCAGTTTCAATAGTATTATCATTAACTATGCTAATTCCTTGTTAGGTAGATGGTGGTATTGGTGACCAGAAGTGAGGAATACTTGTAGGTATTTTGCATAGGATCATAAATTTATTTATTTTTAGCTGAACAGTTGATGACAGTACTGACCTGAAGACCTGTCTTTAAAATCTACTCTTCACATAAGGTGTTCAAGAATAATTTAGAAATTTAATTTAGACATCAATAATCTGATGAATTTTTAAGATGTGCACTGTTAAGGCATATTTCTTAAGTACCTTAGTGAAAAAGACTGCTGCTGGGATTTTTGATAGTTTTTTATAAAAACCTTAGCTTTCTGTTCTGGACTATGTAGCCTTTCAGATTATTGCCCCTTTCATGTTATTAAAATCTTGAGATATTTAGGAAACTCCAAAAGTAATATTTAGGTGGGCAATATGTGAAAGCTGTACCATTCCTGTTGAAACATCAGCTAGCAAATTACTATCTATCTTTACCATCACCAGGAATATATTCTACATTACCTCCTCTTAGATCGTGGTTAAATTCCTCTTTGTACCAGATGCAGACGAGGATGGCAAAATATTCATGGAGAGATAAACCCAGTTTTTTTAAAAAGAGGCTTTTGGTATTATTTAAGACCCTTGAATTAGGGTAAAGGAAATTTTCACCAGTAGACAATATTCTCCCAAGCTTGGTCTCCATATTTATTTTATTATATTTATTATATAAGTGTATAAGGCTGTCCAACTCCACAATTACTCCAAACTGACTGCAACTAAAACAATAATGAAATAGATTTCAAACAAATAGAGTCACCTGTGTGTGAGTTGGGTGGCCATATAAATTTGCTTAATAAAATAATAAACAAATAAAAACTAATTAGGTGGAAACTCCCAATAGGCTGTAAGCATTGGGTCTTCCACCACCAACCTGGTGACTGGATCTAGCAATTCAGGCATAGATTTCACTGCACTGCTGTGATTCATATAATGTAGCAGGGACTTTTATTGTGACTTCTTCCCCCTCAGCATCTTCATGTTCAAGGGATTTCAGAATTGTATCCTAGATTATAGAATCAGCTCCCTTAGAGTCTCTAGACAGCAACCAGTTGTTTAGCCCAATGGCTAAACGTTACATTACAAAATCTTATTCTTAGCCAGATAGAAATCTAAAGAAGGGACTACCAATCTTCTTTGCAGCAATTTAAACATAGCAATAACTACCTCCACCCTCTCATATTCTATATCATAGTTCCTTCTCTTCATAATCAACATTTTTAATCAGTAAACCCCGAAATTCACATCCCTGTTTCCATCATGAAGTGTCAGTTGTGTGACTGATTTCCCTGGAGAGATAAATTTGTGTGCAACTGATTGTTCCTCAAAACATGGAAATCAATAAACACAAAGAAAAAGTAGACCAGAACCCTTGCCTTAATGTCTTGTGTTCTGTATAGAAGTACACATTGTATATAGAGAAATTTTGTTGCATGAATCTACCATCAATTTGAAATGGTTAAAACCCTAGAAATCATTTTAACAAAGGCTTAGTCTGATCAAACATTAAGCTTCATTGTTTGGGCATTGATGGTTTATTTTAGCTGTTACTTCAGGAAGCTATTTTTATTATAGAGGTGCCACTTGCTCATATCTCTCCCCTCTCTCTCTCTCTCTCTCTCTCTCTCTCTCTCTCTCTCTCTCTCTCTCTCTCTCTCTCTCTCTCTCTCTCTCTCTCTCTCTCTGGTGTGTGTGTATGTGTGCACGCATGTGTAAAATGTTTACATGATCAATAAAACTGTTGTTATTACATTGACTAGAATGAACTTTATAGTTAATAGTCTCTGGGTCTGTACAACACACTGAACAAAATATTTTAGTCTAAGTAAGATGTGCAAATCCAAGTTGTGTGGTTAGTTAATGATCTAGCGGAACATGCAAATCTAGCACACTATGATTAAACATACAGTGGGTAAGCTTGGGTGAATCCAAACCATATAGTGCTACCATATATCTCAGATCATAAGTCAAATCAGATTTCAAAATCTAAAACAGCCTTCTGCTTCTATCTCAGAAGGTCTGGATTGGGAATCTAGACATGGCTAACTGAAGTTTGGATCAAATAACGTTTGATTTTAGATGCTATTACTCCATTCATTTCTTCTTTATTTTGCAGGAGATAATGTAGTACAGACTTCCATGAATGTCAACTCCCAACAGACCCGCTTTCCTGACTTCCTTGACTGTCTTCCTGGAACAAATGTTGACCTTGGGACATTAGAGTCCGAAGACCTGATCCCCATCCTTAGTGATGTGGAATCAGTCCTCAACAAAAATGAACCTTTTCTTACCTGGTTGTAACTGATAACCCAACATTTCCTTTCCCTCTAGAATTTAATGCCAAGCCTCCTCAAGTCCTTCAGCTAACCAGCCTAATCCTTTGCTGACTTTTCCAACCCCTTTATAGGTCAATGAATCTTGATTGGGATGTCATTGACAATAACTTACATTTGAAATATATACAAATACAATTTACATCCATCCCTAGTTTTAAGGAGTAGAATTGCTTATAGATATTAAATGTAAGTTTTACCTAGATGTGTTTTGAGGAGACAAAGGGGTGGGGTTTGTTTGTTTGTTTTGCACCATGTCTGAACTGAACGGTCATCAGTTACAATTAAGTGTGTAATTAAGGAAATGGAAGACAGTGATGACTGTAAGAAGTTTCAGTCTGCAGAAGTTAGCTTGGTTCTGAAAACCTAGCACACCATCAAATACAGCTCTGTGATTATATTTAATGGTCATTGCACCAAATGCTTGTTATTTACATAAGTTTTAAAAATCATCATTATTTTAAATAAACTCACACTGTAGGGAATACAGCTTTTTTCTTTTTAATTCCAAGTCAACCAGAGAGCAACTTTTTAAAAACCTGCAAAGCACAAACAGTACTTTTGGGACTTTTTCAGTTGCTACATGGTTTCTAGTAAGCAAAAGTGAAATGTTTTAACTGTTGTTTTTACACTACCACTGTATCATAAAATGAAACAGGTTGATACTAATTGCTGCCATTTTTAAACTATGTAGAAAATGAAAAAAATGCAATTATATATGTTACGTTCTTTTTTACTTTCATTTTAAAGAAGTACACTTTATATGTAGCTGTTTTAAAAACTATTTTAAGGTGAATCATAAAAACAACAAACTTTTGTTGTGTTATACACAAACCAAAAATTCTAGCAAATTCTAGCAAAATAGAATTTCAGAATTCTGGAGAAAAATTGTCACATTATTGAATACAGTAACAATTTTGTAGAGCCTTATTATCTTTTTTTCTTTTTAGCAATAATGCATTTTGTTGATCAGATTTTACAAGCTAGAAATAATTGCTTCACTTTATCAGTTAGGTGAAAGCCAACCTCTCTTTGCCAGTGTAGCAAAGGTGCTTAACTTTTTAGCCATTTGCTTCTTAATTCTGGCATATGAGACAAAAGACTATTGTTGGTGTACTCCTAGCTATATTCATATAAAGATTATTAAATAGTTGATATCCAGGACTGAGAATGCATCAAGGACTTCCAAGTGCTCGCTTTCCCTGAAATGCAAATGACGTCCTGAAATTAAGTATTTTAAATTGTTTTTTATTTATAATCTATGAACACTAAGCTTTTTTATATTGGAAAAAATTAACTTTTTATGGAAGGCATTATAATTAATACAAGCCTCTTAATCAGTGATATGCGAAACCAAACAAAGAGGTGAAGCACACTGCCAGGCTTCAAACATACCAATAAACAGACATCATTGTATTACAGAATTGGGCAGTATATGCCCCTTATTTTCCAATTTGGTGAAGAAAAGGCAAGTGAAATAGATGTTAGCTTGAAGTCAGTAAGATAGGTTGAAGAGTGGCTAAGGAGAGAATGCAGATAGCAATGCTGGAGTATTACAGAGTCAATTCTGGGGATTACCCCAGTGGATCAATTAAATATTGGTGAACACTATTTCGTGGGAGAATTGTTACTTGAAGGTATTTGTTCTAAATGCACCAGGCTAGTTTTCTTTTCACAATATTTTAATCATGAGTGATTAAAAAACAAAAATGAAATCCAATTTTTGTGAAGTTTTAATATTTGACCCAGAAAATATTTTGTGTTTGTTTTATAAGGGCAGGGATGGATACGCAGACATAAGTAAGTAGATTAGTTTGTTTTAGCAGATTCTTGCACCTACTAGAAAATATTTTCCATCAATGGGCATTCTTTCTCTTTTATTTTAAAGGACTTTTTTTTTTCATTTTGCTTGCTCACTTAACATATAGGATTAATCATTAAGAGAGCAAGAGATTTGTCTTTAAGCAATGTTATTGCATGTTTTCATTATTTAAAGATTATCAGCCATGATATGAAAACCAGATACTCCTACGATGTTTACTATTTTAGCTATGTGAACAAGTTTCTTCTTTCTTGATTTTTTTTTCTTACCTGCTTAGAAAAACAGGAAGTTATTAAAGGCAGATCCAAGTCTTACTTGTTGTAGGGCCAGTGCTTTTGTGCTCATTGAGAAGCTGCAGAAACACTGCCATAGATCTCGTGTTCTCTCAGCATGTGATCACTTGGCAATTTTTGGACTTCTGCAGATTTACAGATTTAAGACATACATAGTAACATTTGCTGTGACAGACTGGGCTTATAGCTGGAATAAATCGGCAATAGGCTTCAATTGAAGATAGCTCACTTATTCTAAAGAAGAATCAGATCTAATAGTGTACATTAAATTGGAAGTGCCATTTCCCACATATTTGTAGCCAACATCTTATTCCCTTTTGTACAACCAAAAACAGCCACCAAAGGAACTCTTCCAAGTTGTGTAAGTGGTATAATTTACCTCCTTTGATTTGATTTTCAGGAGTTAGTCGGCATGAATTAGAATGACTTCAATTTAAAGTGAAAATGGCATAGAAAAGGAACTAAACTTCATCCAGGCCCCAGCTGGATCTAGGAGAGAGTTAGGAGTAGAAAGGAGACTTTTGTCTTAGTCCCATAGGACATCAAAGTTGGGCAGAGAAGCAAAATTCAAGCATTAGAGCAGAATTTCATACCTTTTCTGGCTCCAGATCCTATTAATTAAAAAAAATTCTCAGTACACAAAGAAAAAAATCAAGATACACTAATAATAAAAAAAATGGCTTTATTGGGTGTGTCAAGGGATAGCGATTAACCAGTCTTTTACAAAAAGAACTCCATTACATCTTCATGGAACCTTGGGAGGGGTCCACAGTTTGAAAAACATTATTATAGAAAACTATAGCAAACCGCAAAAATCCAAATGACCATTAAATGTAGCAATGAGATACTGAAAACACTATATTTGGCTACCATTTAATGATCTACATCTAGGTTTTTGCAATCTAAATCTAGTACCCATATAATTTTTATAAGTAGAAGAAGGAATTCTGGGTATACTTCCCTCTTTGAAGAGATCACTAGCAATGCTTGTTATTGCCATACCTATGATAACTCTGGAATTGAAGTACATAAGTAAGTGAATGGGGAACACATATGAGAAATTAATATTCTTATCCTTTTTCCTTATTCCTCACCATGATGAAGGTAAATGCTATAAGCTTAGAGCCACCAGAGCAAGGCTTGAAAAATCAAGCTGCACACTAGAAAAATCCAGATGACGTGCTAGCTGCCAGCAAAAGAATTACCATTTTCCGTATCTTTTGTACCTAGTAGGTTTTTGGTAAATAGAAATAATGCTGAACCATTCTAAGGTAGGGGAAAAAAGCTGCATTGTTACTATCAGTGTACCTTATTTAAGTTTATAGCTCTCAACAGAGTTTCCTAGCCCTAAGATTTGTTGTGTTCAATGGGAATAACTTCTGAATAGGTGTACATAGGTATTTTGACTGACAGGTTTAGAGCCCTGCAAGTATTTTGGGAATTAGTAGAGACAAGGCTGGTTTAGAACTATAGGCAGATAAATCAAGTAAACTGGTTAACCTATGAAGGCTTCATGTAGCATTAGAACAAAGTCAGCATTAGAACAAAAGGATCCAATATTGTTTTGTTTTAAACTGCCAGAACTGTTATTTTTAAAGAGTGAAGCATTTGATAGTAGAGATTTGGGGGAAAGGGAGGGGGGAAGATCCCAATAATCACAAAAATGGGAAAATTAAATAAGTCAAGTATACGTTGCAAAGCCCTATTTTCATTTTTAAGGGTTGTTTTGCAAACAATTGTTTCTAATAGTTTTTCATAAAATTTCAGTGCAAGAATATGACTTGTTGTTTTTTATTACTTCATTTTTTTACACTAAATTACTTTTGCCAGCAGTGAAAAATATAGTAGTAGAGCAATCACGCGGCCATTCGAGGATTTTAAGTTAGGGTAAGGCACGCTTCGGTGCTGACCATATACAAGTTATGGGATATAAATAACAGCTTGTAATCTTGAGTGAGGGGAAATTTTGAGGTCATTGTTTTTCAAACTGAGTTCTAAAGAATTCTGAGGTTTCTTAGAAGTAGGTTAAGAATTCCAATACAAAATCAAATTAACTTCCATTGAAGTAAATTTGCCTGCTAATGTGCAATGAGCATGGTGTCTAGTGATTATTCCTGAACTCAGGAGACTCAGATCCCGGTTCCCACTCACTGATGATGTATTCTGAGCATCTAGTCATGTTCCACTTGTTAACTGTCCTATGCCACAGGGTGGTTATGAGAGTAAAGGAAGGAAAGTGCTATATGCTACCATGAACTCCATGGCAAAATGATGGGATAGAAATGTAATAGAATAACAAAGGTTTTCCTGTTGCAACAGGGACTGTACTGTTGACTGTACTGTGGAGTTTGTTTTAAGTTCATGAAGGGGAAAAGTGAGATCCAACAGGGCTGGACAGTGCCTTGTGTTAATAGTGTGTGCACTTGAAAATTATCCCTCTAAACCACTGGAAGGAGTTAATATGCCAAGTGCAAAAGAGTTCTTCGAAGGCAGATGTTTAAAAACTGCTGTATTGGACGTTAAATTAATTGAAAGTAAAGCAATGGAGAAGCCAATGCTTTTTTTTAAGAGTTGGACAAATTAAATGCTTATTTTCAGGAATGGAAATGGATGGTAAAACCAATATTTCTGTTTTCCTAATACACTACATTCATTTATGTGCTAATACTTTAATACTTTTTTATTTACATCAGTTTGTTATGCTATATGCCATCTTGTGTGAGCATTTGTTTTCAGTGTAGAATAATATGCATACATATGTGTATGCTTGAAAATCAGAACAAACAGTTATATCCAGAGTTTGTTTCTTTTTTAAAAAACAAAGTATTTCTTTATTATTGTACAAGAAAATAAATAAATAAATAAATAAATAGAAATTGATTTAAACTTCCTGCCCTGTGTGTTGGTTTCACTTATTCCTTGGAAAGAAATAAAAAGGACTATACTGAGTAGAGATAAGAGTGTTGCCACACAAAAAAACCCCACTATGGTTATGTTACCGTAACACACTCTGGTAAGAAGTGGGGAGGAAAATCCACACTTGCAGCTTACTCCATTACCATCACAAATCTCTCCTCCCCCACCACGTTTTGAAGTTCCAATTTAACTTTTTCTAACCCAACTCATCTCAAATCTCACCAAATAGATGGTCTTTAGTACTTTAGTATTCTTCTAATCTAGTAACATTCTCAACTCTGATTGGCCACAGCATCTGGCCTTTCTCTGTTCAAGACTATCTTGTACAATAATTTTGTCTTGGGAGGCCCAGCTTTTATGTTCTCTGGTGGTGTGGTGCAATCTTCAGCTAAAATAGAGGGAGGAATGAAAAGATTAGTGAGTTTAGAGTCATTGCAGGACAGGGAACAATGCAGACCTGAGCGTCTTCCTCCCCCCCCCTTCTGAAACCCTTATCTGGCTATTTTCAAGAGAATGCAATCAGTCTGGTGAGGTTATTGTAAATCAGTCAGCAACAATTAGCAACTGTGATCAGTTCATGGTGTCATTCTGGTTCGTTGTGCCTGATATAGTGGCCAACAGCCACCTTTTCAAAAATCAGATTGCAGTCAATCCAAGAATGGCAGAAGAGTGTGAACTCTTATTTCTGCTATGCATGGCTTATTAATTAAGGCATCAGGCTTACTATTTCATTTGAATCCTAAATGACCACTA